GACTGCTCAGATTTCATAGTATTAAAGTTCATGTGTAAAATAATTGCAAGATCAAAGTGGTTTTTTTTAGTATAGGGCCAGATCCTGCAATTCCTCCTTGTCCAGAGTTTTATCACCTTACTGATAAAAATGAGATGTTGCTGCAATGCAAAACAAGTTCTCCACAATATGTAACAAAAATCAATATTTTGCTTGACAAAAAGAAGGGTTTTTCACAGTAATATTTCCTTTTCCACCTGGGAAGGAAGAAGTGAGGAAAATATTTTGTCATTTCGTCACTAAAAAGACAGAGCTGTCAGCCTTTTGTGAATGAACAAAATTCAGTGGATTAATTGTCTTCATTTGCTCAATGGAAATCCATTTGAAAGTGTTGGGAAGTGGCAAAATCAAACACTTTAGAGTAATTCTTTCCAGTAATTCCTAGAAGCATATTAGGCTTCAAATGGAAGCATTTGAAGATAAACTGACAGGTAGGGCTATCAAATTCATGGTCAGTTTCACAGTCATAGGATTTTTAACGTGGCAAATTTCATGATTTCAGCCATTTAAATCTGCAATTTCACAGTGGTGTAATTGTAGGGGTCCTGACTCAAAAAGGAGTTTTGTATGAGTGTGATTTTGGGGGGGTGGCAGTGTCACAAGCAGGAGCGGCCTGAGGCCAGCTGCGGCAGCTGGCACCCCAGGCAGAAGGCGCGATTGGCGCCCCCGCCTGCACGGCCATCAATGGCCGTGATGTAATCACTGGGCGCCCAGGCCGGCGGCGCTCTAGGCAACTGCCTAGTTTGCCTAGGCTCACGGGCCACCCCAGTCACAAGGTTATTGTATCGGCGTTGTGCTATTTTTACCCTTATTTCTGCACAGCTGCTGGCAGTGGCACTGCGTTCAGAGCTGGGCAGCTGGAAAGCAATGACTGCTGGGAGGGATCCCGGCTCTGAAGGCAGAGTCCCCCATCAGCAGCACCGCACAAGTCAGGGTGGCATGCAGTGTTCCTTCTATTTTTTCTATCCTTGTCAGAATAAATTTGGTTATATGCAACAAGGCATGTGTGGATGTGCACCACCACTAGAAATACATGCTGCCGGTGGTGGGTGTTCTGCTAATCAGCTGGGGAGCATCTGACTCTCTCCTGGGTGACTGCCCAAGCACTCAGTTTACAAGGAACATTGGTGGCATGGAATGGCATTGCCACACTTACATCTGCACTGCTGCTGGTGGGCGCTGCCTTCAGAGTTGGGCACTCTGTTAGCAGCTGCTGATCTCCGGTCACCCAGCTCCGAAGTCAGTGCAGAAATAAGGATGGCAATCTGTCCCTCTGCACCCATTTTAGAGCAGGATCCCCCAATTTAAGAAATTCTAATCTCCCCTATGACAGTATAATACAGGGCAAAAGCACACAAAAGACCAGATTTCATGGGGGTTGAGAGAGGGGGAGGAGGGAACCAGGTTTCATAGACTATGATGTACTTTTCATGGCCATGAATTTGGTAGGGCCCTACTGATAGGCAAAAGACTGGTGTCGGAAACTGTGATGAGTTTTGGAAAATCTTGCTGGATCAGACAAACATGTCAGGTTTAAGAAAATGTAACAGTTTGTTCTTTCACTCCTTAATTTCAGAGCTGTGTCTAAGATAAGAGCTGGGAATTCAGATTGAAGACTGTTATGTTGCCATATCACTTCTGCTGAAAACGTCCTAGTCATTTTGTCATTATCATAGGTGGTCTTGATCCTCTGACTGTTTCTTCCATGCAGGAGAGGACAGGCTAGATTAGATTTTGTTCAGTAAGGTCAACTGTGGTTGGCAAGGTTCAGAGAGCAGCTATCAGTACTCTGAAAGCAAGACTCTGGTGAAAATCTCTTTGTTAGTCTCCAAAACTACATCATAACCATTTCTGGCATCCAATTCCTTCCGCCAGCATGTTTTCGTGACACACCACCAGTGTTTGGATTGGCCCAGTATTAAAATGGAAACTAGGAATTAGTGACGATAGCTGCAAATCTCAGAAATGGGAAACAAATGGATTTTTTTCAACCAACACTTTTAGCTGATTATGGTTGCTCTGTTTTTTGCCTGACATTATTCCAAATTCGTAGACAAAGTTTCCACGTGTAGACAAAATTTCAACTTGTTTTTTTTTCCCCTTAGACTCTGATCAGGTAGGAAGAAGTGTGGGACCTTGCACTTCATATAAAAGGGAATTGCAAAGGACAGGCTGTACTTTCCTCTCTCTGTACTGTGTGAACGGCACAATCACATCCTCCCAATGTAATCTATTAGATAAAAAAGATCTTGGTATATTTCAAAATGAGTGATCAGAGAGCAGGCATCAAAAATAGGGGCAAAGAAGCAAGGACAAGGTGGCAGGGAATTCGTCTGATTTGCCTATATTCAGAACCATCAAGTACCCTTGACTTCCTGATAAATATAACGCGCAAATTCAGAAGCAAGCAAGTTCAAATTTAAGGACGTTCTAAAAACTCATGCTCTTGAGAAGAATGATTCAGCTCAGTTTTTTGAATATTTCTTAACAAGGTATTTTTTATTTTATATAGGTTGAACCTCTAAAATCTGGAAGGACCGAAGATATTGCTGGAGCAGAGAGCCTCAGCTGGCCAGGTTACTGGTGTGGTGGGGGGCACAGTGCAGTGGCCAGGAGCAGAGCTCAGTGCCCAGGACTGACCGTCAGAAAGGGAGCCCTGACCTCCCCTGATCTGGCCAACTCCATGGTTCAAAGACTGCTCAGTTCCCCGGGGGTCGCGAACCAGGGAGGTCCCTCCTGTATAATTTTCTAAGGATCTCTTGAAAGAATAGAAATGTTGACCAAAAAAATCTGGAAGTGTCCTGAGGGATAGTTCTATTATCTATTAAAGTTTCAAAATATGCATAAACTCTCTTGCATCTTTCCCCTGCACTTAAAAAAAGAAAAAAGAAAAAAAGGCCAATTTATACAGTTTGCTGTAAAATTTTTCTCCAGCCTGAAACTCAGTATGCAACATTTCAGCCGAAGGACATAAAATCCTGAAGATCTTTGTTTATAATGGAAACTTGGGCTGATCCTTAACTATATGGTTGCAAGAACAAGGCTATTACAGCCTGTTAATGTCCTTTGTTTCTTCCAATCTTTGTGTGAAGCACTGAAGTGAACTGATGGGCCATGAGAAAGGGAGAGCAAGCAAAATGAAAATAATTGTATTTTTCTCCAGTTTCATAAAAACATTTAATGCAAAATCATGTTACAGACCTCAGGCACGTGCATTCTGTCCATCCATGTGAAACCAACCACAGTAGTTTTGATTGTCAGAGCAAAGATGAAGTTCTGTTTTTTATTTGTTTGTGGTTTTTATTAACCTTCCTCCAGATGAAGCTCCAGAAGTACAAGCTGATATGCTTCAACACAGGACTCAAGAAAGGAACGCTGAATAATTAGCAGGTGACAAAACTGCAGCTATCCCTTGCCTTAGCTAATTGTCTAATGAAGTAAATAACTAAGGAAGAAATGGGTGTTAAGCTGTTGTCTACAATGAAGACAGGACTTTATCCTAAACGCATACAGCAGTATCAGCTGTTCCTAAGGGTGCCAGTTCAGTATGAGAACAAAAAACAGTTCACATACTATCTATGATATAAGTACTATCTTCAATATAACTAAATAATATTATTTTGATTGCATTCAAAATTCAACCTTCTCCTGCCATGTATTATGAATGGCTCCCATTTTTTTTCTCTGTCTCTGCTCACTAGCTATCTGGCAACATAGTGAATTTAAATGCCTAACTACAGTAATAGAAAAGAGAAATAGAAGAGACCTCCTTCCTTCTCACCAACCAAGGCAGGTTCGATTAGTAAAGTTTGTTCTGAAGTGCTCTCTCCATTCAATAGCATATTTGGAACAAAATTTTATAAATATTATAAAGAATGAGTTACTTTGACATTCAAATGTTGTGCTATACGATAACAACAGTTAAACAAGAAAGCATTTTCCAAGGTTGATTATGTTCAATACTGCATATTTGTTATATTTATTAATTGCCCAAATAGTTAACTTTATATTTTTAACCAAAAGGAAAGCCATGACTATTTAACTAAAAAGTTTCATTTTCAAGTTTTATTGACACATTTCCCAGAGGTAATAGGGTGTTACAAGATAGGAATCATCTGGGGAGGAAAAAAAGAAAAGCAATTGGTTCCAACAGATCACAGTGTACAGAGGGAGAGAATTTAGACCCACACATGACATTTTTTACCCAAAAGGAGAAGTTTCAAGCCACAGCAGCAGCTGCTAACATGATTTACTTGCTGTACAAATTCTGTGGTCCATCGGGGAAACTGTGTCACTTTAACACCATCTAGAAAAATCCTTTCCAAGTGGTAACACTCCCCTCCCCCAAAAGACAGACTGATTGATCCAAAGCCCAGGGGTGTTTGAAGGCGTGTTGCTATTAATGTTAATGGGTTTGGGGATCAGACCCTTAATGAGCATGCAGTTAGGTCTGTAAAAGGTTAACTGATCATTTTATATGGTAGGGCTAAGTAAAGTGGCTTCAAAAGACTAGGAACCAGCCCAAACCTTTGCCATCTGCAAGTTTCTCTCCCTCATTTCCAAAACTCCTAATATTTCCTTTTGTTCCCTGAGAACCATTATATAACAATGACTATCCAACTCCATTATTCTATAGTCCACTTTATAAGACACTGGCATCTGCACTTGAATCAGATTCATACAGTCCTTCTAATTCACAACTTTCTCTGTCTTTTTCTCGTGGTCTGCAGTGAACACAACTCTGAGGACTGACAACGAATTAATCTCCAATGTTCCCACTTTTGTGGACCGTTTTTGTATTGCCGCTGAACTGAGTGTGCCAGATTGCCCACATATTCTAAGAAGGTCAAACCAGAAAGAACACTGCTATCTCGTTCCTTGGTTCTCAATGAAATCCCTCAAATGCGCAAACACATACGTGCATGCCCTGTAGTGTAAAAATAAGCCATATACAGTCTCACCTTTCCAGGTGCGCACATGGTCCCATCCAGTGGGGGCCCCTTCTTTGTTTTGCAGAAATAAGGGTTATCGGGATGGCTACACCACAGCTGCTTGCAGGGATCAAATGTACGGAACTAGGATGCAAAAAAAGCAGAGCACATGTTGCTTCTGGAAATGTCCGAGCCAGAATTCCATTAGAAACATGCTCTGTCGTTTGTTTTCGTCCAGCTTTGGAAAAGGCAGATGTTATCCCTGAGTAATAAAGGTCATTTAATAATACCTCTGTGGCCAGGTCCCAGCTGAGTAACTTTTTCAGGCAACATCACTGACTCTGGTAGTGGAATTCTGTCTTGAGTGGCATGAGGCTGGAAACGTGATTCATCTCAATGCCACAGGATCGAATGGACAAGGGCAATGAGCCACCTTGTGATGAGCTACATGCACTAGATGGCAGTAGACCAGGGCAGGCAAGATCTGGCCTGCAGGTTGGATCAGGCCAGCAAAGCCACTGAATCCAGCCCATGGGCTACTCCACCAGGACCCTCCGGCACAGAGCAGCCTCATGCCACTTTAAGCAGCTGGCTGCTTCCTGTGGCTCTCTGCTCTGGGCACTGGGGGAGAGCATGTCTTCTTATACCCACCATGCATGATTGATCCTCTCTAGCCTAGGAGGGAGTTTTGCAAAAGAGAAGTAAGCAGCCACCAGCACAGTGCATTGCAGGCTAAATGGCACCGCAGACTTTGTGTTTCAAGCCTGGCACTGCTAATGAAATTAGCACACAGTAATGTCTTGACCTCTGATTAAAAAAAAAAGGCCCAACAAGAGTAAGAGTTTCCGTGTCACATTGACGTTGGTTTATTATTTCCTGTTTACGGTTAGCTGGGCATACCACCCTTCCGGGCAGGCTTCCGTAGAATTAGCACTTCTGTTTTGCAGTGTTTATTAGTTTCCTCTGCAGGACTTATTTGTAGCAATTTTTGAGATTTATGTAGATGTCAAAAATTAAGAGGTTGGGAGGGGGCTCCCTTGTTATATATACTGTAAATGGGTAATATGTATTGTCACAGCTTCAGGCTAATATCACCTATATTCTCCACTTCCACAGTCCATTCCAAGCACGACCCATTAGGGGTTAGGCCTCCAACCAGAATCTTTCTGTAGCCCTCCTGTTCACTAGCCCAGTATGAGGTTATTCCCCATAGGGGAAGCCTTGTGCCTTTTTACACAACTTTGGGCGAGTAGACCTGTGGCTCCTTTGTGTGCTGTGCGTTGTGTGTCTGGGTGTGTGCATCTCAGACCAGACCCACTCAGGCAAACCACCCGGAACAGGCTTTATTCTGTAAAGAACGTAGAACAGGATTTCAGTTCAGCAGCCTCCTCTCTGCTTGCAGCTTGCATGCGCCCAGCTCAGGCAGCGCTAAGACCCTGCTGTGGGGGAAGGGAGGGGCACAGAGGAACTAGGAAGTTCTCCCAAAATGCTGCAGTTTGTAATCCATGGCTTGTAGTTCCCAAGGCTGCTCCTGAAGCCTGCTGGACCTTGGGCTACATGTCTATAGGTAGGGATTCTTCTCCCATTCCTTCTGATGAGGAAGTTAAGGCTGCACAGCTCCCGGCCTCACACTGTGATACCTCCAGCAAGCCAGCCAGCCTAAAGCCCTGAGCTCTCTCTCCAACAGCTATGACCAGCGTATTGCCAGCATTTACACATTACCACCCTGTTCTGCCTAAGTAAGCCCCCTTTCTTGTAAGATAAAAACATTGCAGAGAAAATGGAACAAAAACAATGAACCGATTTAAACACACGCTAAATACATATTTAATTGCCCTCCCCCCCGCTTGGATCAGAAAGAAGGTCCCGAGTCAGTTTAAATGAAGCTTTGTTCTGCCCAAAGCCCTTCTTTTATCTGTTGATCTCTGGAAAACCCAGTTTGTGCCAGTATATGCAAGCCTCTTTAGAGGGCGGTACTTCCCTGGAGATGTTTACAACCTGCGTGATTCCTGGAGGAGCTAAACGCAATCTCCCCACACCAGAGTTGCTTATAATCCCTGGCCCACAGCAATACATAAATCATTCATAACCTTAATCCAATATGTTTCCCCAAAGACATGGTATGCAGTTGCAATATCTGTCACATATATTACATTACTCATGACAGCAGTATATACCGTAATGAATAATTTCTTTGTAACATTCCCTAGAGCGCTTTAAGGTAAGCACTACGTTAAAATGTGCTGCAGAACTTTTCGTGTGCATTAAGAAGGGTCTAAAAAAGATCAACTAATCTGCAACACATTAGTGCACTTTAGAAATCACCTCTTTTTTGTCCACATTACTACTCTGTGTAGACTAGCTCTTAGATGCAAGTAACTATTTTTGGTGTTTTTCCCATGTTTATTGGATAATCACTGATTTCTTCTCCCCCTCCCCAACAGGGTGTTTTTTAAATCACTGTTTATCCATTAAAACCTAAAATCAGAAGCCCTAGCTATAATGTTCTTATTAATCTAATTTCAAGGACAATTACAACCTGGATGAGGAACAGCAGAATTCAGCTATCTACTTACAGCCGTGCACATCATGTAGCCCAAACCAAAATCAAAACGACATTGCTCGTTCATGGAGTAGTGAATTCCTGGCAGTTGGGGAAGGGAAGGCCAATCATGTTCAAAAGGATCATCGCGCAGACAATCATAGGAACTGCAACAGGCAAAAATTGCAATAATAGACAGGAACATGAGACTTTTGTAGTGTTTGTGGCTTCATTAAATTTACATTCAAAACAAAATACAAGGTATAATTTCTCAGATACTTGTTCATAAAGAATAGTTAGCATTTCACTTATGCTTATATGGTATTTACCATGCTGTATCTGCATTTAACATGGGACAGCATTCAATCTTTTATTTTTCTTATATCTTTCCATTATAATATCCATTTAGCTTGCAGGTATATTTCTGTTATTCCCCAGAGTCCCTATCTGACAAGAAAAGGCTCAAGAAAGAATCCTCTGCAAATGAGGCTGAGAAGAAAAGATTTAATTAATTTGCCATTTGTGGAATTTTTTCTTGCCTGCTGCCTTTCAAGTAAAGCTTTAGAAACTAAAGTCAGGACTGCCATCCATGAATATTGCTGAGTTCCATAATACATTCCCATGCATTAGTCCAGGAGAAGCAAGTTCACGTACAAGCAAGTGTACTTTTTGGCCTTTGTCTTATTAAATTATAGGGCTGATCCATCTTCACATTTCTTCTGACAGCTTTCCTCTCTTTTTGAGATTCAGACAGGACTTCCTTCATGAGTGTGTTTGTGTGTGTGTTTGTGGGAGGGAGGAGGTGTTCCTATTGCTGATTCTCTTGGGCTACGTCTACACTGGCATAATTTTCCAGAAATGCTTAAAACGGAACAGTTTTCCGTTATAAGTATTTCCGGAAAAAGCGCGTCTACATTGGCAGGATGCTTTTCCGGAAAAGCACTTTTTCTGGAAAAGCGTCCATGCCAATGTAGACGCACTTTTCCGCAAAAAAGCCCCGGTCGTCATTTTCACGATCAGGGCTTTTTTGCGGAAAAGAAATCTGTGCTGTCTACACTGGCCCTTTTCCGGAACAGTTTTCCGAAAAAGGACTTTTGCCCGAACGGGAGCAGCATAGTTTTTCCGGAAAAGCACTGATGATTTTACAGTAGATCGTCAGTGCTTTTCCAGAAATTCAAGGGGCCAGTGTAGACAGCTGGCAAGTTATTCCAGAAAAGCGGCTGATTTTCCGGAATAAGTGGCCAGTATAGACACAGCCTAGGTGTCTTAAACATTTGTACGTCCCTACTGCAAACACATGAACTTGAAACATACATGGGGAAGACTCCTGGACCACAGGAGAGCCAAACTGTTGCAAGCAGTAATGGCTGACTAAGCTACTTTCTCAACATAAGAACATAAGAATGGCCATTCTGGGTCAGACCAAAGGTCCATCTAGCCCAGTATCCTGTCTGCCGACAGTGGACAGCACCAGGTGCCCCAGAGAGGGTGGAGCGAAGACAACGATCAAGCGATTTGTCTCCTGCCATCCCTCTCCAGCCTCTGACAGACAGAGGCCAAGGACACCATTTTATCCCCTGGCTAATAGCCAGGTATCACATGGTGGGCCCTATCCCTCAAGTATCACATGGTGGGCCCTATCCCTTCTGTATTCATATTTGATCTAGTATTATTTTGTGATATCACAAAATAAGTTAAATTTAACAAACTCATTTATCTGTTTTTATGTCCATCATTTTCCTCTCAAGTTTTCTGCCATTATTCATCATATTCACAAAAGTTGTTCTTGCAAGAAATGGCAACGAAAAGTCCATTAGGATCAAATTCCTTGTGGATTCTGTAAAAAGAACGGAACTGCCCTTTATCTGGCAGTTATTTGGGCGAATCTGGTGATCTCAATGAATGAAGGACAGAATTTTGAGTCAAGGTCTACTTTAGAACAAGACATCATATGCGTTTCTTATCTGTGCAATATTTATATTCATAGAAGCATATAACTGTAGCAGATGCTTAAAAAATGAATTCGAACTCTAGCCCAGATTACTTTCATTTAACACAAATAGCTTAAAGGGACTTTTCCCCTGATAATTTTTTACCTATTATTACCAAAAATAACATTTCAAATATCGTAACTTAAAAAAAAAGTGAGACAATAAAGAACAGATTCTACCAATTGGTTTATTTAATGTATTTTGCAACTTTTTTCGAGTCATTTTCAGAGTGTGTGTCCCCCCACCCCGGTATATTCAGTTAATAGATTTCCCTGTGGTTCGTATGTCTTTCACACAGCAACCAGAGACAGAAAAAGATTTTTTTTTAAATAGGAAAAATGTGATTTTTAAAAACACATCCACTGACAGGAAGACTGTGATGGGGTGTCTGCCCCGCACTGGGATCAGTGCTGTGCCCCGCACTGGAAGTTTAAGGGTTAATACCCTGCCCTGGGAGAAGGCTGAGAGGGTGGAGCCAGGGCCAGATTAAGACCTATAGAGGCCCTAAACACTGAAAAGATTATGGTGTCCCCCCATACGTAATTCAAAATAAAAACAATACTATACCATAAAATCTCTCTTTTTTTTGGTGCCCCTGCTTTGCTGGTGCCCTAAGCACGTGCTTAGTCTGGGTAATCCAGCCCTGGGAGGAGCCCACAGCTGAGGCAGATGCAGACAATTAGGGCCCAGCTGTGGCTGTGTAAAAAAGGGCTCCTGGCCAAAGGAGAACAGACACTCTTGCTTTAGCTGGGGCGCAGAAGGGACCTGACTGATAGGGAAGCTAGAGGCTTTCTGAGACAGAGCAGGGCTGGGGAACTCTGACCTCACCTCGATCCCAGGCTGCAGGGCTGAGGTAACGCCTGAGGGTACTAGGGCTGCAGGGAGGAAGCCAGGGCAGGAGAAGGCAGCAGGTCCACACCCCCTTGCCAATGATGAGTGGCCATTTCAGATGGCAGTTTGCCCCTGAGGTAAGGGGCTAGATGACCACAGGCCACTGAGGTACAGGAGGTTTGGAGGTTCCCTGGGAGGTGCTGATTCCCTGAATGATCAGTGGGAGGCACCGTGGGGGTGAGTGCCTGGCCCGTAACAAGGACACAGAAATAGGCCAAGTTCTCTGCTAGTTCTTAAAAATTATGTTTCAAGTTGATGGTTTTCCTGTAAGCAGGAAAGAAACAAAGAGGAGACTGGCAGAAATCATGGGAAAGGGATCGGCCTTTGTAATGACAGAGTATTGAAAGGAAGGGTTACCATATTTGAACTTCCAAAAAAGAGGTCATTCCTGAGAGGAAGTGTATCTGTATCAGTATCTACCAACTCACGTTGTATTAATGTGTTAGATAGTGTATATCTATATCTATATATATAGATATAGATATATATATCCCCCTCTCTGGAGTGTCAAATATAGTAACCCTATTAAAGGTAAAGAAAGAAAGCCTTAGAGGGCCAAATTCTTCCTTTTGGTGTTCTTGAGAGGTTGCCTCCGAAGACAAGGGGAAACCTGCACACACATCAGAGGGCACAATTTCCCCTTGCAACTTGCTCAGTACATCTTTAGTATTTGGAAATGTTGCTGATGTGTTACTGCTACCCATCAGACTTGCAGTGAATTATCCAGCTCCAGCGGAAAAGTGTTACTCAGATTAATGAGACAGGGTTTCCATCAGCTGCAGCCTGGGTGGAAGCAAGCTCGTCACATGACCAGTAATGATATTTGCTTGCAGATTCTAGAATGACAGCATGCATATCCTGGAACCTCTTTAATCCAGCAACCCCGGGAAACAGGGTATGTCGGATTAAAGATTTTGCCAGGCTGGGGAGGGACTGCAGGATCTGGGCGTGACGGGGATGGTGGTGGGGTGTGTACCTGGTGCCCTGCACCCTCCACCCTTTGGAAGCAGCAGGGAAAAACCATAGAGGAAGCATGTTGCTGCTCTGCCGTGCCCCCAGATTGGGGGAGGAGATAGGCAGCACGCAGTTTGTTCCTCCTCTGTACCACGGGTGTTCCTGGATTAGGGACACTCAGAGTGCGGAGGTTCAAGTGTATTATCAAATTTCAATATCAATAATAGCTATAATGAAATGAAAAGTCAACCTGAGCTTTTGTTATTAGTATCTCCTGAAAAAGTGGCTTGTTTCAGGCAGGAAGGGATTCGTTTTTTTTTTAAATCCCTTTTAGTAGCTAATAAAAGCACAAAGTTCAAATACAAAACTCAGAGACATTTTCAAAAACTTCCTAGGCAGAGTCAGCTTCGTATGTTACTCACTGTAGATATCTGTTCAGCTCTTGTTGGCTACAGCGAGACCAGTGGAAGCGATGGAACGCAGCCTGGACAAGAGGGGCCATGATGCTCCCCAATCGGACCTCATCCCCACACCTGTTGCCCTGCCCATCATGTTCCATGCCTAATCTAGAACAAAGGTAAGAGAATAAGCACATTTTCATCATGGGTAAAATCCAAAGTCCCTAAGTGGCTTATGGTCTTTAGTCCCACTAACAGTAAATGGGATGTAGATCCCCAAGTGACAGCAATTTTTTATTCCATTTTTCTTTATTAAAAACACAAAACAAAACCAATCTTCCCGCTTTGCCTTTGTTAGGGCTTTCGACTCTATTTTTTCGAGAATGATATTTGACTAATGCTGGGTCTTCTTTTGGGAGACATATCACTGATAACGAACTGTACGGCAATGTGTTCTGATTAAAGGTGATTTCACAAGCTAAAAATATCTTTAGTGATGTATCATTCAATCTGATCATATGTTTCTTTTAATCCCAGCTACTGAAATGCTGAAGCTAAAGCTTAGTGATATGAGAAACCGATACAGGTAGGAATGAAGTCAGTGTCCCTGTCTAATTAATATGCACCGTAGGATTCACCAGACTTCAACAAGTATTCTTAATGTAGGACGAGTAAAGCCCTGTTCAATTAAAAGACTTCTGGAATTTTAGATTCGTCTGAGGGGATGAGGGCAACTCAGTGAATGTGCTTTACTCCCAAAGAAACCGAGTTGTCCTAAAATAAAAAGATTCATCAGCTCCCTACCTGGAAACAGCTCTTGTTACACAAACAAATAAAATAGTTGGATCCTTCATATGAAAAGTATTAGGAAATGGCTGTAGCTGCAGTTCTTGACGTGTTATTATGCTGTATCATACAGCCCCTCTATGACAGAAGTGGGCAATAATTTTTGCAGGGGGGGCACTTCACAAATTTTGGTACATGGTTAAAGGTGGGACCTCGGGGGAAAGGGTGGGGCTGGGGCTACAGATAGAAAGAGAGAGAATGCACGAGTGTGTGTGTGTGAAAGAGACACTCTGTGTGTGAGAGACAGACTCTGTGGCATAGAGTGAGTGTGTACGGCAGTATATGTGGCACAGAGACTGGAAGAGTGTGTATGTGACTGAGTGTGTGGCACAGAAACACTGTTGCACAGACTGGGTGTGTTTGGCAGTGACACAGAGAGTGCATGTGCTGGCTAAGTTGGAGAGAAGCCATGCTCTGTCTCTTTAAGGGAAATCAGTCCTGCTCTGTTGTCCTCCCTATCCACTTCTTCTGCACTCCTGAGTCACATGCTTCAGACTGGAGCAGTTCTGCTGACTGTGTCTCCGTCTAGGACCCCTGCTCTGCAGAGATGGGGTATAGGGACAGGGGAACACCCTGACTTCAATACTTCCCTCTCTACTGCCAACCTCCCCCACTCTGCACAGCTAGCAGGAGAATCCTGGCAGCAGCTCGGCTGCAGGATGAGCAAGGTGGGGGGGAGGGGCGGCAGAACACATGCTGCGGGCTGTAAATATGCGCAGTTTGCTAATCAGCTGGCCAGGCCAGAGAAAAATGCTTGGCAGGCTGGATCCGGCCCCCGGCCCTGAGTTTGCCCAACCCCCATACTATGAGATGTTTTACTGTCTTTCTAGATGGAGATGTACACACAGAAGATGTGAGTCTATTCACTGAGAGTTGCTTTCGAGGGTCATGCCTTCCGCTACAGCAAATAATTCTTTTCCATAACAATAAATGCTTTGCTCCTCTGACAAGAGATCAGAATGCATTTTGTAGGCCTTGATCAGTTTAGCCTGAGAATGTGCGTGGGAAGTAGGTAAGCATATCTGCATTTTACAGCTGCAAAAACAGATATACACAGTTTTGTGGGTTTGTTCAAGGTCGCAAAGGACTTGTCAGAAATAAGGATGAACTCTACCTCTAACTCTTTAATCTTGTGTCTTAACCACAAGGACACATCTTCCCTGCACCACAAACAGTCCCCAGGGTCCACCACATAATAAGAGAGGCCCTTTTCAAGTACTTACACGTGCCCCGTTTCATGGGCCACCACAAATGCAGAGGAAAAACCATCTTCATGGTTCAGGGTGCAACTCCGTACAGGATGGCACATTCCAGTTACTGGCGCATAGCCTAAGCAGAGAAAGCATGACTCATGAAATAAGTGAATCTGGGGGAGAGAATGTTTCTGAGAACTCTTTATTCAACAAACACCTCCATGTAATCTCTACTGCTGGGCATTTTGGGTCTTGCAGTAGCACAGAAGTGTAAGATGGTACCAGAGCTACTCCAAGGGGGGTGCAGGACCTGGGACAATCCCCCTCCCCGGGCCCTAGGCATGGGGCTCCCCTGCTTCTTCCCCCAACCGGCCCACCTGTCCCTGCTCCTCCCTCTGTCCCTGAGCTTGGACACAGCACACGAGCTATTTGCAGCACTCTGAAAGCTCTGTGAGAGCAGGGGAGGGGCTGGAAGCTCCTGTTACCCTCTCACTGACAGTGGGGAAATCAAGGTACATCAACTCCAGCTATGTAATTAATGTAGCAGGAGTTGTGCATCTTAATTCAACCTTCCCCTTTAGTGTAGACCTGGCCTTAGATCAGATGCATTCTATTACATGATGGCTATCTAAAAGAAACATGAAATCAGGCTCCAAGTCAGCCAAGTATTATCCCAGGTGAAACAAGCATATTCATCTCCTAGTTCATGCGTGGCCTGGACACAACTGAACTGTCGCGTTGAAAAGTAATAAGATCCCTGCCCTGGACTTTTAATGATGTGCTCCCACTTCTATGGAAAACACAAAGTCTGGCCACTGAACCAATTACATTTACTTCCGCAGTTCACCAAGAATTCCGTGAAATCCCCTTTCGGGCCGTTCTGTACCTGGTCTTGTGAAGGGGTAGAGAGAGCGGGGGCAAGGACTTGCTACTTTAGCCTGATGTCAGAGGCATCTTCCCGCTCAGGTCCTCAATGAGCTCCTGCTAGTCAATCCCATTGGAGCAGAGAGGAGCCCATAGGAACAGGCCCGCTGATAGGGGTGGGGGCAAAGGGGACAATTGCATAGGGGCCAGGATTTCAAAGGGGCCTGGAGCTTCTGGCTGCTGCCACTGCTACTGTGTCAGTGGTGGTGGTCAGAGCCCTGAGCCCCTTTGAATTGCCATGGGAGCCCTGCTCTGCCACTCTGGGTGGCTCTGAGGGCTGGGGGGTAACGCTGTACTCTGGGCAGCACCAAGGGCTGTTTGCCTTAGGCCCCGCCCCTTCCATCCAAGGCTCCACCCCTTCCAGTGCCACGGAGTCAGGTTCCCCCTCCCACTTCTCCCTCAGGCCCGTGGTGGCTGTCAGCCCTGCTGAGCAGGATGATTCCACAAGGGAGCAGAGAGTGCAAGCTATGCCCTGTAAAGGGGGTAAAAGCAGGGGCTACTCTTCTAGTCTATTAAGGCATTATATATATACACACACACCCCTTAAATACATGGATCAAAGCAATACAATTTCTATACAAATAAGAGTAAAGACATGCTCCTACGGTGACTAAATGTCTTGATTTCATAGGGATGGTCCCAATAGTTGAGGCTTTGTCTTATAGAGGCACCTACCCTCCTTTCCCCAGTCTGATTTTCCACACTCGCTATCTAGTTACCCTACATGTGTTTCAAAACTAGGGTTGCCAGATGGTTTAACCAAAAATACTGACTCCCCCCCCCCCAAAAGAACACTGGGGAAAAAATTCTGTTGAGAAAAAAAAAAAAGGACCCCGAGAGTTACTAAATAAAAACTTAAAAAACCCAGCGTGGCCCCTTTAAGAAATGCTTTGAAGATTTTTGGCCCTAACAGTCTGCCGGAGGCTGTCTGCCATCTTGTCTTCCTGCTCCCCTGAGGAACCTGATAAGCACCCAGTATTTTCACTTCCTGGCCAGGAAAAAGAATCAGAAAATACTGGACATTGTAGGTGTCCGGTGTTTTCTGAATTTTTTTTACCGGGCAGGAGGTGAAAATACCGGACTGTCTGGGTCAATACCGGATACCTGGAAACCCTACTCAGAACAGTGCTACTGTCGTAGAACGGTAAAGCAATGGGGATTGAAACAGAAATAAATGCATTCCTAGCACAGGTCACCCGAACACAAATAGCACTTGGCAAAATGATCACACTTGGTACATGTTAGCAAGGGGGGGCTGACATAGGCATTGGGGGTTTCGGCTCCATGCTCCTGGAATGGGCAGGGTGGGGCAGCCAGCCCTCAGCATCATGCTGCTTCACCCCTCCCCCCAGCCAGCCCTCAGAAATACCCAGAGCGCACCACGCAGGGCTCAAGCAGCAATTGGAAGGGCCCGGGGCTCCGTCCGCCATTGCTCCAGTAACAACGGCTGACAGCAGCCCTGGGCCCTTTGGAATTGCTGGGCCCTGAGGCAGTTTCTCTTCCCCTCCAGTCAGCAGGCCAGCCTGTTAGTTGCTCCTAAGCGAAATGAGCTTTTCTGAACTGCGAAAGAATCCCCGATCAGTGTCTGTAATATTGATAAAACAATTTCTCACTCAGCATACACCTTACCTTGCATGCCAGACGGGCCAAAATCCTGCCTTGTAAGAAATATAGCATGGTCATGATACTCTGCATGTGCAGTGTCAGACTTCTGTTGCAGATAGGCCCAGCGACATACATTTTCCAAACTCTGGGAAGGGTTCCCAATCTCTATTAAGCTCATGGACTGGATATTCAAAGAAGAAAAAGAACATGATTATTTTATCATTTTGTAGATGATTAGGCCGGAAGGGACTATTAGATCATCTACTCTGCGCTCTGGCACATCCCAAGCGCAGACATTTCACCCAGATACCTCTATCTGGAACCCAAAATCTTTATTTAAACCAAAGCATTTGAGTCCAATTAACTTTGGCCAACCTTTCACCATTCGTTACCTTTGAAAACATGCTCAGATATATGTTCAACCTTGTAGGAGAGCTCCATTCATGTTAAAGGAAATACTGCAAGAAGAAAACTTATTGTATAAACTTGGGATGGAAATATCACATGGGCCATTCACACAAGAGCTACGACATTTTGACATTATTCGTATTGCCTATGATGTATTGCAAGAAAAGATGACAATTAACTTGATAACAAATTTGTGAGCCATATATCGCCCTCTCTTTAGTCGAGCCACATGTAGACAAAGTCATGCTGGATTTAAGATGCTGGTGTCTAATGTACTGTTTTGTACACCTGCCCACTGATGGAGAGGGAGCAAACTGCCCTCGAGCCCAGCAATTCAAAAGGCCCTGTGAAGGAAGCACCGGCCAGACACCCAGGCCCTTTAAATTACTGTTGGAACCTTGCACAGTGCACTCTGGTGGCACTGAGGGCTGCCTGAGGAATGCTAACCCCACCCCTTTTGCCGAAAGCCCTGCCTATTCTACCCAAGGACTTGCCCCTTCCGGGGAGCAAAGCCCTCCCCCCTGCCTTACCCAGGGCCCTGACAAGTCTGTCGGCCGTCTTCACTGTGCACAGAATCTAGAGCTGGAACATTTTCATTCAGTTATCTTCCTGCCAGGGCTTTGTCTTCCAAAGTCTCTTGGCAGATCATTCCATAGGCTGCTAGATCTCACTCTCAGCAACTTGTCCTGATATTCTTACATTTTTCGCCTTCTTATAGAAACCTACTGCCAAATTCTCTGCTGACTTCAGCAGAGTTACAGCAGCAGAGAGTTTGACCCATAGACTATGGAGATGGAAAACACCCATTTGGCTTTATATTATTAATTATGTATTTATTATTATGTGTCTTAGTGATCCCTCTGATAGACTGCATTAACACAATTTCTTTCCTCTCACCTGAGAGTCCTTTAGTATTTTTACTTTACTAAAAATAAGATCTCAAATGTCTATCTTTTGCTAATATGTAAAGCATTTACAATTAAAATGAGTTAGGGTTTCTGCATGGTGCCACTCATCAAAACAAATAAACTGTGATGACCCCCACCCCATGATTTATGAAATTGGTTTATGAGTATAAATATGCATAACTCGAAGATGCTTTGATCAAAATTCTTCATGTAACCTATCCATTTTAATGTTACAATTTGCTGGACCTGTATATCTTATTTGGGAGCATGTATCATTGTATGTAAAGTTAGAAATACGAGGGATGAGATTTTTTATGGTTTTAAATGTGGAAATGTGAGCCATCAATTGTGCACCTGAAAGCCTTAATGACTGGGTGATCAACTTAGTGGCTTGAGAACAGCCTTGTTTGTCTAAGCCAGGGCTACTCAATACGTGGCCCATGCGCCGCATGCAGCCTGCGGCCTGTTTGTTTGCCGCCCACGGTGCAGTTTGGGTTTAAGCTGGGCTCAACACACGGCCCCACACGGGTGGGAGCCAAAACAAAAAAGTAGTCAGTATAATGGTCTTCTGCTGATATGCATTTTAGAAGTTAAATTCCTGAACCGTCATTGCTCATTAAAAGTGCTGTCATATGGGTAGAAATCGGGCAAATATTGCATTTTATTAATATCAGCAGAACTGACTTAAATGGGGCCTATATGTTGCGTAGTCTTGCCCTAATCTTTGTATTCATGCTCGTCAGTGTGAAAGAAGCTATTTGCATATATTTGCATATGTGTTTGCATGTATATGCAACCACATTTAAGTTGCAGCATGTGTTGTGAGTATCATTACGGTCCCCGGGGCTTCCGAAGTTGAGTAGCTCTGGTCTAAGCAGTGGTTGGTCCTAGGAACACATGTGACCATGCCACCTGGTAGGAGGATACTAGTTTGACCAGGAAAAAACTTAAAAAACAACTGATGGTCCTGTAGCACCCCACTTCTTTAAATGAGTGGAGTGGGTTGTGCCCACAAAAACTCATGATATTGTATTTTTTTTTTAGTCTCTAAGGGTATGTCTACACTACCCCGCTAGTTCGAACTAGCGGGGTAATGTATGCATACCGCACTTGCTAATGAAGCCCGGGAAATTCAAATCCCGGGCTTCATTAGCATAAGCGGGGAGCCGCCATTTTTAAATCCCCGCTGCTTCGAACCCCGTGCAGCGCGGCTACACGGGGCTCGAACTAGGTAGTTCGGACTAGGGTGCCTATTCCGAACTACCGGTACACCTCGTTTCACGAGGAGTAACGGTAGTTCGGAATAGGCACCTAGTCCGAACTACCTAGTTCGAGCCCCGTGTAGCCGCGCTGCACGGGGTTCGAAGCAGCGGGGATTTAAAAATGGCGGCTCCCCGCTTATGCTAATGAAGCCCGGGAAATTCAAATCCCGGGCTTCATTAGCAAGTGCAGTATGCATACATTACCCCGCTAGTTCGAACTAGCGGGGGAGTGTAGACATACCCTAAGATGCTACAGGATCATTCACTGTTTTTTAATTTTTTTTTTAAGTTACAGACTAACACAGCTACCCCTCTGAGATAGTTTGATATGGTAATTTTCCATAGAAGATGGAGATAGAGAAAAAAAGATTCCCACCCAGAGTGGAATCTATAAAAACAATGGGATGCTATTGGTGCGTCTACACTTCAAGGCTTAACTTGAAATAAGCTACGCAAATTGAGCTATGTCAATAGCGTATCTTATTTTGAAATAGCTTATTTCAAAATATGGAGTGTCTACACAGCACTTATTTCAAATAGAGCACTCTTCCTCTGACTTCCCTTATTCCTCATATAATAAGGGTTACAGGAGTCAGAGTAAGAAGTCCTCCAGCTTGACAGAATTTTGACACTATTTCGAAATAACTGCCTGCTGAGTAGACGTGGACTAAGTTATTTCAGAATAACGCTAATTATTTCAAAATAGTGTTGCAGTGTAGACATACCCCATCTGTCCCTTTGTCTTTGGCTGGCTGGGGGAAGAGCCTGGCCCACTAAGATACAAAAGAAACAAAGGGAAACACCAGAGATCCAAGTCAGAGTAAAGGATCATCTTTGACTTGAAGTGTGGCCTGAAATAAGAACAACTTCATTTGGGTAAGGAACTGCTTATACAGCCGGTCCCCGAGTTGCGAACGGTCGACTTACGACCATTCACATTTACGACCGAAGCTGTCGTAAATGGTGGACCCTGAGTTATGAACACGATCCGTGCATATGAACAGTGTGGTTGCGTGTAACTCTATGGGGTCCAACTTATGAACAAACTGAGTTACGACCAATTGCTTGGTCTGTAACCAGTGTGAAAGTTGGGGAGAGGCTGTACAGGTTTAACCTCTCTAAACCAGGACTCTCTGGTCTGGCAACCTCCATGGGACCAAGAAGCTACAACAACAATTAGGGAAATTCCAAGTATCAACCATCTCTCTATCACATACACACCGAAGAGGAGAAATGAAAGAATGGAGCTCTGAGGCACCCTCTGTGAGAAAGTACACAGAGCAACAAATGGAGTCCCTAGTATGACCTTACTATAAGATTTACCCAGCATGGCTCGAGTCCTTAACTCAAATAAGTTTTGTTTTTCTTAATTAAAATCACTGCTCCGGGGGGAAGAGGGGAGAGAGATGTTGAGGGTGAGGGGTTCAGTAGCAGGCTTCCCTGAAGAGAGAAGACAACCCCAGCCCCCTCTCACCACAGCAGCTAGGGCCCAGGTGAGAAGGGGAAGGGTGCACAGACACACAAACAGACAAAACTCTCTGAAATATATAGTAGATAGCTGTCCCTTTCTTCCACAATGCAGATACACAAAGGTTGGCACGCTGTGAAGCCATCCTAATATCTAATCATTGGGACAAGATGTTTATTCTTAATTCTGAAATTTCAAAATTTTAGTTTTTGTTCCAATTTGCAGTAACCCTTTCTTCTTCTTCAAGTGCTTTCCCTGTTGGTGCTCCACTCCAGGTGAATGTAGAGTACCCTAAGGAGGCTGGAAGGCACTTCAGAGTTGAGTCTGCAGCTGGGGCTAGGATTCTTGTGTCTGTGCTCAAGCTGAGCATGACAGAATCATTGTTAGTGAACATCTGTTCAGATGCCCATGGGGCTGCTCCACATATGTCTAAGATGGGTGAGTTGTGCACGAACGCTATGGAAGTCACTAGACTTCTTCTAATGCCCATTGGGGCTTCAGTGTTGCATAGGGAGTAGCACAACTGGATGTAATTTGTTATCCATTTAGATAATCTTTGTGTGCATAGTCTCAGAGGGGCAGCCGTGTTAGTCTGTAACTTTAAAAATGAGAAGTCCAGTCCTGTGACACCTTAGGGTATGTCTACACTAGCCCCCTAGTTCGAACTAGGGAGGCTAATGTAGGCATTCAAAGTTGCAAATAAAGCCCGGGATATTAAGACTCTCTGAAATATATAATAGATAGCTGTCCATTTTCAACTTCAAATGCCTACATTAGCCTCCCTAGTTCGAACTAGGGAGGCTAATGTAGGCATTCAAAGTTGCAAATAAAGCCCGGGATATTAAGACTCTCTGAAATATATAATAGATAGCTGTCCATTTTCAACTTCAAATGCCTACATTAGCCTCCCTAGTTCGAACTAGGGAGGCTAATGTAGGCATTCAAAGTTGCAAATAAAGCCCGGGATATTAAGACTCTCTGAAATATATAATAGATAGCTGTCCATTTTCAACTTCAAATGCCTACATTAGCCTCCCTAGTTCGAACTAGGGAGGCTAATGTAGGCATTCAAAGTTGCAAATAAAGCCCGGGATATTAAGACTCTCTGAAATATATAATAGATAGCTGTCCATTT